CCATTTCGGCACACCCCTCACACGTTTCGTGGCCCCATAGGGAGCTCCACCGAAGGCCCCACTGGCAGGGTTCGCATGCCTCCCCACCACCCATTTCGGCACACCCCTCACAAGTTTCGCGGCCCCATAGGTAGCTCCGCCGAAGGCCCCAGTGGCGCGGAGGCTATGAGGAGAGGGGCCTAGTTAGCGTGCCCCCTCCTTCGTTTCATATCCGTGCGGTACTCGCAGCTGCATATGGTTGGGTCCTTCGCCAGGTTTTTTTTTTTTTTTTTTTTTTTTTTGGGGGGGGGGTAGTATAGCTACCTATGCCCCACGTGGGGCTCAGGCTGGCGGAGGCGGCAACCCCTGCAGTAACGGCGGTCAGTCTTCCGTCTAGACGGGCACGCTGGAGCTCAATAACTTGGTCGCCAATTGGGGGGATCCTGATGCCACCGGCCTTGCCCAGGAGGAGGCGGCCAAACTTCTTCGGCAGGTAGCTGAAAACATCGACTCCGATCGCAAGAGCTACAGTTGCGAATCCGAGATGATGAGCAAGGTGCAGCAGCGCTTTCTCCACGCCGAGCTTCATATTATGATGAAGCCTACCACGACCCGCAGGGGCCTCTAGTGTGTACACAAGGATCTATACATATATATAAATATGTGTGTGTATATATATGTATATCGTGCCTCGGGTAATGTGTCTGCCTATCAGTGACAGGACGGTGCAGCGCGCGCCCTCGCATTTCCCCGGGGAGACGCCGCCCGCGATGCAGGCGGGCAAGTTCCATGGCTTCCTGGAGACCAGCCAGAAGGGCGAGTCGAACTTCCACCTCCAGTGCGCAATCAACGTGGGCACCCTGATAGTGAAGCATGCGGCGCAGCAGCCGAGGCCCTTGAGGATTGCCGAGCTCGTGATCGCCAGGGGTTGGGCCATGTCCCCCGACGCATGGCCTGTGGCATTCGCGGAGGGGGGGGGGGGGGCCCGCGGTGAAGGCCAGCTATCGTGCCTTATCTGTGGTTGGATGAGCAACAGATGCCCGTTCTGGGCAGATGAACGCCACTCGCAGCAATAATTTGCAGGTTGTGTCGTGGAGCGTTAGTCGCATCAGTGTCCGCTCGATCGGAGATCTTCCTGAGTGGGTCTCTGCCTGGCATGGTGCGCGCTGCGTTGTCCTGTTGCAGGGGGCGCGCTCGCGGCCGAAGGGGCCTTCGCCCGCCGGGATGGGTCGCTTGGCGCGAACCGGGGCACCCGGCGGCAGCCGCTTGGCCGTTGACCCCAACATCGAATTGAGATGCCACCGGGAGCAAAATGCGTGCCATGCGTGTCCAGCCTGCCGACGCGCGCGCAGCGAGCTTTCATCCTCCAGGTTCATGAAACAGAACATTTGGAGAGTTTAAAGATGGGATCGCATAGGTTCAGAGCATGTATTCGGGGAGCAAGCAATGGGGTTGCAAACGCTTGGTGTGGGTGGGGGGGGTGGGGGGGACTTCGGCGCGCAGCTTCCCCCCGACGTGCCTCGCGTGGCTGGGCCGCGCGGCTCAGCGACGTTCTCTAGCGCGGCGGTTGGCCTCGATCGTCAGGGGCCCTTGATCGGTGCATGTCTTTCTTGGGGGGTCAAAGCGGGCAGCGCGCTTGCGCGCCGTTCCATCGTCGGCGTGGGCGGTGACGACGTCCGATCTGCGGTGACCGCTGGCGCTGGGGCCGGCGCCAGGCGTTGCCGCGGGTTTCGCCATATGGGGCTACATACATTGCAACTCGATGGTTCAGTCCCTAGCGGTTCCAGTCTCATGGGGGCCCCGCTCTAGCAGTGCAGACGAGGAGATCGCATCTGTCGGCGGTGCTCAGGTCGCAGGTGCTTGGCCATTGTGCCCTCGGGCGCCTCTGCCGATTGCGTGCTCTGACTGGGTGCGCCCCTGAGCCCGCCGAGTCTTTGAGTTTGAGTGGGCGTCGGGGGGGGGGGGGGGGGAAGGAAATGTTGGAGATTCATGGGCGATGAGGACCGTGATCTTGGACGGGCTTGGCGAGGGCATGGCGGAGAGGGCCCGCGAGGTTAGTGGTGGCGCTCGTGGGAAGATGCTGCCTGGCGCGCGCGCCAAGCCCGGCAATCTTGCAAAGCTCTCGCAGCGCGTATGATAGACCCCCCAAGCGCGACCCCGGGGGGAGAGAACTGCGGAGGCACGAGGCGCGTGGGCGCCTTTACTGGGAGAGAAGGAGGTGGGGGTTCTGCACCCCTCGGGCAAGAGACGCAGGGGAGCTGGAACCGCGGCGGCGGGGAGGGAGTTGGTGGGCGTCAGCGGCAGGACGGGGGTGGGCGTGTCCAAGCGGGGGAAGAAGGTGGGGGGTTCTGCAGGCATAGGTGCTTAGATCGCACGACAGCTTCGGGGTCGGAGGGGCGGCGGGGGGGGGGGGGGCGTGCTGCGCGCGATTTCCACGTGCGCCGTGCGCTACAAGCGCGTAGCATCATGAGTGCTAGCACGTCTAGCTGCAGTGGTGGAGTTGTCTCGGAGATGACCATGGCTCTCGGTGTCGAAGTGGCTCCTCAGGTGTGCGAGCTCTTCGCTTCTCGCATGCGTTCTGGTGGAGGCCCCGTCGAGCCCTGGTAGTCGATCTCGAAGTCGCCCCAGACAAGAAGAACCCATCGTTAGAGACTGCTCCAAATATTTCCGTGGGGTGTCGCTGATGTTTGTTACGTTGTCACGGCATATATCGCCTCTTTCTGTCTTGATGTCCTAACAGCAATGTCACCCCTTGGTCAATCGCCAGTGCGCCGTGGGCTTCGAGCCTTCAGCGTCGCGCAACCGGGCGGCTGGTCCAATCGGTATCATGCTCGCCAAAGCGCACGAGTGACATCGCGAATGCTCCTTTGTCGTAGTCGCCAGGGATTCGTCTCGAGCGTTTGGCAACTTCAGGGGGGAGGAGGCATTGGAATGCACGATCCATCATCAAAATGCACCGAACTCGATGCGACTTCTTCCAAGGAGAGTCATTGGCTGCCGCCGCGAGGCTGTCTTGAAGGCGCGCCTGTTCACTGTTCCCGTTGACTTGCAAGTTCCTAAACGCGAGAGGCAGGGGCCCGCCGATGCTCTTATGGCGCGGAATACAGTTCAATGGGGGGTCTCGATGGGGGCCCGCGGGAAAATGATCTAGGCATCGACGCCAGTGGGCGCAAGTATATTCATATCCTTCGGCGTGATAGCGCGCATCTCCTGGGCAGACCTGCGTCGCGGCTCATGCGCATAACGCAGCTTCTCACTGGTGCGTTGGCCAAGATTTGGATCCGTTCTGGAAGCCAACTTCGCTGGAGCTTCCTTCGCTGATGGAGCCCGGCGTCGAGGGGCGCAGCGTCGGGGTTGTGGCCCCCCCGCAGTTTTTTTCTGCGGAGTGTTGGCGCGATCGCAGTCTCTTGCGCCTCCTCGAGTCATCAGCTCGAAAGTGTCAATGTCGGGCGCGGAGTTGCTTGGCCAGACGCGTCCAGGAGTGTCTAGGGGGGCAAGGCTGTTTTCTGGGGGGGGGGGGGGGTCCAGGGATCTAGAATGCTTCCTCTAGCTGAACGGTTGCGTTGGCATTCTGAGTACATTGTGCCTATCTTGTGCTATGGGCGTGGGTCTTGAGCAATGTCGCGGGGCGCGCCGGCGCGCCCGGCTGAGGCCGTGCGTGGGGGGGGGGGGGGCTGGGCAATATTGCAGGGCGCGGCAGCGCAGGGCGAGGTGGGCGCGGCGCGATATACGCAAGCAGCCGCGCGCAGTATTCGCAAATTCTATGTCAAGCGTGGACGCGCGTTGGTGCGCGAGCGTGTTCTGCAGCGGCGGCACATGCATGCAGGCCGCGTCTTGGATGATGCCGCGCTGCCGCCTTCGTCGAAGCCTCTGGGCACCGCTCGGGAGCCTGAGCTTGAGATTTGCCGCCCCGTTGGCTGCGAAGGTGCGCGGCAGCTCTGTGCGACGTGTGTGTGTGTGTGCGTATGTATGTATGTATGTATGTATGTACTGCGTATGCATGAGTGCATGCGTGAAGACCACTTGCAGGGCCTGAAGGCCAGGCAACTTGAAAATCGCGAGAGGGGAGGTCGATCGGAAGGCGAGTCATGTGTCGCTGCCGCTCGAGAAGAGGAGCGACGGCAACGCCGCGCTGGGTGGCAGCGGGCCCCGCAGAGGGAAGACTTGGATTTCTCGTGTGGGCCCCGCGCGGAGAGGGTTCGCTCTGGGGGGCAAGGGGTGGGGGGGCACGGAGGAGGATTTGATCTCGAATGCCCCGTTGCAGGCCGGGCCCCCGACGATCCAGATTTCAACGTTTCGCGCGCGTGCTTCCCGAGTGGCCGCGGATTGGGATCGAGGGCGAGAGGCCCAAGTTATACCTCCGAGACCTTTGCGATATCGTTCCGGAATGCATGGTTCCAGGCTTCTTGTGGGCATCCGAGGGGGCGACCGTGCCGTCGCCGAGTGGCTCGACGGAAGATGGCTTCGCGTTGGCCCACACTCGCCGGCGCCATTCAGAAGGGTGCGCAACCGCTTGCGTGACGTCTTCCGTCGTTGATTCGTACCTGTTGATTTCGGGGGCGAGGTCGCGAGGCGCGTGTGTCGGGTGTGCAGTCGGAGGTGGAAGCTCGCGGTGCCGAGTTTTTTGTTGGTTTGTTTGTTTTGTTTGTTTGTTATGTTTTCCCTCTCTCTCTCTCTTGTAACTGCCAGAGGCGGGACCTTCTATCTTCCATGTTGCTTTAAAGCTCAGCACCGCCAGTTGTTGTTTGCGGTGCTCTTTCCATGGGCCGAAGAGGGAAGGAGGTGGTGGTATGGGTGATATCGTGGAAAAAGTTACAGACAGAGGAGGAGGTCATGTGGAATAGGAGGTGTATTCAGCTGGGCCCAGAGTGCGCGACCATGACGGCCGAGCTGGCAGGCGTGGCCGACCTTTGCGTATTTCTGGAGAGCATGTCGTATCATGTGGAGGAATGGATCGGGTTGTCTTGGGTGAAGGCGAGGGAGTGACAGGGCCGAAGCTTACGCGCCTGTTGCTTGACCGC